GCCAGGGTCTGCCATTGCTCAGGAACTGGCTGAGCATTGGTCAGCTGGTGGTGAGCAACTTCACTGTTGTCATGGTTTTATGATTTTTAGTTATTGGTATTCCATATCATAACATCATGTAGTGCATTGGGAGTTACGGTGTTAGTGCTCCAGTTCCGGGCACCTGTCTGGAAAAGAAGAACTACTACATACCCCAGGGGGCTTTGCAGTCAGAGAGGAGATATAACCCCTGGCAAGGTCACCTGATGCGCTCTTCTTCATCTGCTCTCCTCCCTGCTGCTCAACCGGACTGCGCATCTCACCTCAGTGTTATGGTGAGGCCTTTCCACCTTTCGGACGCTCACTCTCATTATATTTGATTTATTAGCTTCAATTTAATTATATTGTATTATAGTGTGCTATCTTGCATTCTGATACTATATTTAGTAAATTAGTTTGTTTCTCCTCAGATTGTTGCTGCTGTTTTAATTATTTTGGGGTCCCGGTGTTTCCCTTTTCTGGAGGCGTGGATTTTGCGAAAATCCCTCTGCCCCGCTAGTCACAGAACTGGGCCAAACCAGCCCCTTAACCCTTGTCAGCTGTACATCACATACTCTATTTACCCTTTTCTGTTTATTTTTTTCCCCCACTTTTTTTTTTTTTCCTTTCTCCCTTTTGTTATTTTTACTCATTAAACTGTCCTTATCTCAACCCATGAGTTCTTCCATTTCTGTTGTCAGTTTTCTCCCCCATCCTACTAGGGATGTATGGCATTTAGCTGCCTGCTGAGTTAAACCAGAGAAAGCCTAAATTGTGGAGGCTCCTCACGTGTGTTTTGTTTATAGCATAAGAAAGGCAGATGGTATTTTATAACTCTATTCTTATTGTGTTATTTCAAAACATGTCTTGGAAAAACACATTTCGGTCCTAATTAAAAATATAAAAGTATCTTAGTGCTTGTGTAAGTACCACTCCAGGTACGCTAATTTAGTTATAGTAGTAACAGTCACTTATCCAGACACACTTAAACCAGTTTCATTCATACATATATCAGTTATGTTAAACTAGAGAAATTACCAATTAAACTAATGTAGATGGAAGTGCAGCTTAAAACCATTTAAGTTTTCCCACATAAGGTACTCGCATCAGAGTACATAAATCACTTCACTTACATTGGAGCAGTATTTCCAATAACAAGTCCTGAATTGAGTTTCACTTTGATTCCCCAAAATCACCATATAAGCAAGCATATAAACTATCAAACTTTTGTATTTAATTTTTAACCACAGGAATAGCAAATCTAAAAGAACAGAACAGGAGTGTACAAAATAAAATGCATTAAAAAAAACCAACGATCTTACCTTTATTAGATTTGGATGACTTGCTCTTGTTAGGCTTAAAACATGAGCCCCTTGATTTATCTTCTCTATCTTTAATGAATTTCTGCACATCATCCAAAGAAAGCTTCTGAAGGACAACTACAGGCTTAGCTCCTTTATTTAGGTCTTCAACTAGCCCAATCTTCTCTACTTTCTCCTTTTGTTCACCTTTACATTCAGTTTTCTTTGACTCCTGATTGACATTGCCATCTTTATCACGCTTGATTTTTGGGATGACAAAATGTTTCAGCGTGCCAGATCTTGCCCCCAACAAGTAACTGGGAAACTCTGCTTTATTGCCAGTATGTATTTTATTGCTATCTACTTTACTCTTATTACCATCTGTCCTTTGTTCATCCTTGCTGTTGGGTGATTTAAAACCAGGTTTATCAGGTCTTGATTTACTACAGTCTCCTTTACTTTCCTGTTTAATACGAGGACTGTCAGGTCTTGATTTCTGATCCCCAGATGAAAATCTTTCCCTTGATTCACCAGACTCATGTCTGTGCTTCCTTTCAAATTTCTCAGTTTTTGAAACATCAGATTTTATACCATGCTTAGAATCATGTTCATTTTTGTTTGAGGATCTCAAATACTCAGGTCGTCTTATCTTGAACGGATCTCCTCTGTATCTCTCTGACTCCCCTCTGTCCTCAGATCTTTGTTTAAGGTTAATGTGGTCACACCTCAGTGTATCAGAAACTGAACGCCCATCAGGCCTTTTTTTCACTAAATCTGATCTACTTTCACATTTTACCTTTGAAGGATCAGATTTCACATCTGTTTTATGCCTAGTTATTTCAATTTTCTTATCTGACAACAGTTTACTGGAGTCCCTCCTACTGTCATGTCTATGTTTTGGCATTTCAGGCCTGCCTTCAGTCTTCTGTTTTGGCATTTCAGGCCTCTGTCTTATTTCCTGTTTGCCATTATTTTGCTTTCCCTCATTTTGTTTTATCTCCATTTCCCTGCTCTCATTTTGTTTTGACGCTGTCTGTCTGTTCTCATTTTGTTTCAGCTCTATTTGACTGCTTTCATGCTTGTTTTCATATTTAGCCTCTATCTGTTTGTTCTCATTCAGTTTACTTTCCAACCTTCTGTTGATCTCATTTTTCTGAAATTCCATCTGTCTGTTTTCATTTTGTTGGATAGCTGTCTTTTGACCCCCAAAGTCTGCCTTTTTCCTAAAAATCTCAGGATGGTTTTCAGGTTTAATTCCAACAGTGTCTTCTTGGGGAAAACACACAAACCCATCATTGTACTGCTTTATTTCTTCTTTTTTTTTGAAGGCATCCAAATCCTGAGTTGCTGTTGCCTGAGAGTCCGCTCTTCCTGCTTGCTGAAGGTCAATACTAACCATCAGTGGTGGCCTTGCCCCATTTCCTGCAGAACATGTCTCCTGAGAAGTTGGTCTATTTCCTCCAGTAGCACCACCAGCCTCCTGTGGTTTGTTTTCTTGTTTTCGCTTCTTCAGAGGCTTATCTACAATTTAAAAGATATAAGTCATAAATTGTATAAAGAGATTAAGTCTCCAGGCAAAAATATCCATTCCCCTCTATCCCTACAAATTAGTTCCCCTCAGCATTTATGTGCACGCATAGCAAAACTCATTGAATTTAAAAGCAAGAATAGAATTTGTCTAGTTAATACTTTAAGGTATTCATTGACTATTGTTCATTGTCAGTCTACCACAGGTGCCAATTAATCATTAAAAAAAAAATCCACAAAACACATGAAATCCAAGTCCCTCTAAAATTCCTAAGAGATCCATCTAAAATAAAGCAGTTGCAATATATAACAACAAAAACAAAGAAAACAAAACAATTTCAGGTTGAAGCAAAAGTCTGTAAAGACATTGAAGGTGCACCTTCATAACTGCTTTTTGATTAATACTACTGTAAATCTGCAGATTCAGCCTGCTTACTTATACATGAAATAAGCAATGATCTGCAGTGATTAAGACAGAATCTCCCTACATGGTTCAGTGCATCAGTTGAACTTAATGCATATTATTGTTAGGAAACACAGGAACAATGTACAAAATATCATTAAAATAACTCCAACACTCCATTCCTCTCTTTGAAGCAAAGCAGCATACCAAGAGTTGAAGTCTATATCATAACACGTATATATTAGGTGAGAGGGCCTATACTTAAAAGATTTACTAATTTTCCTTTGCAACCATAGTGTTTTCAATGGATAAAATAAAAAGTTCAGTGATAATTTTACATAGTGTCAAAAGCTTGACTCTGCAATTCTCCTTTCAGTTTGTATTAAAAAAATCAAGAGTAGAATACAGAAAAATAAAAAGTGAGCCAACCACACATCTTGCAATTAAGCAGCATTCATAGAAATGAGAAACACATTGAAATATTAAAAATAATATGTTCTATTTAAACGACAAGCTATTTATATTACCAACACGGTACTCTAAACTAAAATTAATTACTGCCATTAGTACTAGAAGTCCTACCTGCACTAAAGCTTATATATTTGTCAACTATCATTATGTAATGTATTTAAAAAATAAATAAGTTACTTTCTCTGTAATCAGGAAATATGATGTTAAGTCTAGATTAGAAATTATGTAGATATATTGTCAAAATGCCTAGATCACAACAACAATCTAAAAAATAATTTATTTGGTGCCTAGACATGTGGTGCTTTATCACCAAATGTAATTAAGCCAACTCTATTTTTGGGAGCAGGGTAAGTGTAAGGAGGAAGCAATCAAGGAAGAGAGAAATAAACTCTAACCTTCTTCCTTTTTATTCCACAGATAGTAGAATATCTTCTTATTATCAGGATTTAGGACTTAATCAAAATATCAGACTAATGTTTTTCTTTCAAATTCCACAGAGCTTGTCACAACGATGAACAAGCTGACAAGCTCTTGAGACCAATAAAGTGTGATCAGGATCTCTTTGCTTCACTCTTTGTAACAAAAAGAATAGTTAGCCACAAAAGGGCTAAGTTAGAGATCAGGCATCCAAGTTTGTTTTCAGATTCACAGAATCGCAGAATCACAGAATGGCCAGGGTTGGAAGGGACCTCAAGGATCATGAATCTCCAACCCCCCTGCCACATGCAAGGCCACAAACCTCGCCATTTAGTACTAGACCAGGCTGCCCAGGGCCCCATCCAACCTGGCCTTGAACAGCTCCAGGGATGGACGGAGCATCCACAACCTCTCTGGGCAGCTGTTCCAGCACCTCACCACTCTCTCTGTAAAGAATTTCCCCCTGACATCCAACCTAAATTTTCCCTCCCTCAACTTCAAACCATTTCCCCTTGTCCTGCTGTTGTCTACTCTGTCAAAGAGTTGATTCCCCTCCTGTTTGTAGGCTCCCATTAGGTACTGAAAGGCTGCAATGAGGTCACCCCGCAGCCTTCTTTTCTCCAGGCTGAACAAGCCCAGTTCCTCAGCCTGTCATGAGGCGGTCTCGGACTTGCTCTGCCCTTACAGTGGGGGGGGATTTAACACCCCAGTCACCACCTAAAGGTTTAGGGATGCAGGGCTCAGGGACATGAGAAATACTAGAATCCTGGCCTCCAGTGAAGACCAAGGCAAAGAACTCATTCAGTACCTCAGCCTTCTCGAAGAAATTTATGACAGTTCAGAGTACTGTCTGATCCTGGTTGTTCTTCTATGTATGCATCGTTTTGATTTGGCAAATCCACAGACATTCTCTTTACTTGGCAACATGCTCATGAAAATTAATGGTACAAGAAACTAAACATTACTGGAACCAAAAGTTTGAAATGAATAAAAAAGGTTAGCTGCATTTGCAAGTGGTTACGTCTCACCTGTCCTGTTATGAACAGTATTCCTGAAGACAGGTGTAGCCATCATCTTTGGAAAAGTTTGTGTCAAAACTATGAGTACTTTCAGATTTAGAAAGTATTTAATTACTAATTTTACTATTTAATTTATTAAATACTATCATCTATTTAATATTTATTTAATATTTATTTATTATTTATTATTTAGTAAATTTACTATTTAATTACTAAGGAACCTTTGAATGCATGTAAAAAAAAAAAAAATAATTACACTGCAGTAACCACAGATACCTCCAAATAAGTTTCCACTGAAACTACAAGTCAGAGTCTCCATTCTGAAAACTTGGAAGCTGAGCAAATGTTAAGGACACAGGCTGGATGAGGGGAAATTGGATTAAGGAAACGTCTCAGTTCCTCCATTTAACATGAAAACTTTCTAAAGCAGCAGCCAGAACATCCTTAATATTCAAGTCTCCAACAATACTGCTTTCTTGCAAATCCAATGACTGCCTCAAGTACCGGATTATATAATAGGACAATAGCCTAAAAACTTTTAGAACTGCATGTTCTAGCAAAATGAAATGAGTCTTTTGAAAATGCTGGTTAAAAGGCAACAAGTCTAAAGAAGAGCTTTGTTTTAGCAGAATGAGAACATTTCACTATTAATACTCTTATAGACACCAAAATCCGAATATCTGAATGATCTGAAAAAACAACAATTAAATTATCACTTCCCCATTTACATCTTGTAATTGATTCAGTTGGAGACTTCAGATCCAAGATGGATAAATGTGTATATATTCTTCAGAACTACAAAGAAGATTGATTCTCAATACTAAGTTCTGGATGAACCACTTTACAGTAAAGACTTTTTTAATGGCATAAAAATTTAGACTCTTGTATTTTAAAACTGACATCCTTCAGAGATTGTGAAGATGTCTCCACTCACATGAAACTCCACGTATTTGTATTATTTAAATCAACAACAAATAAAATCATATCAAACATACCAGCCCTAAACAGTTATTAATTCTTGTCAAATCTTCCATTTTTGAACAACATGACAGACAAGTCAGCCAGAGGAAAATTACATGTTTATCTTATTTAAGCTACCAATCAAGACTTGGAATTTTCAACAAATAATAGCTAACCATACTGTTAAATATCAAATTGGTGTTTACTGACAACTTTCATTTTTCCTGGGAATTTTTCACAGTTCTCTTCAAAGTTGTCCAAACACTCTGTTCTATCAACCACAAGTGTTTTGCCTAAACCACTCAATATAATCTGGATATAAGAAAGGTTTAAATATGAAATTACTTTAATGGTAGTGATGGATGACATATCAATGGAGTGAGGATAAATATCCATGTTCATCTTTCTACTTGGTTCATGAACTTTTAGCATTACTGAGCATGAGAGTTTGATCTCACCTCACCTCACCTCCTCCCTAAATCCATATTCCAAGAACTAAAGAAATGAACAATCAGAGAACCCTTCCAATCAGTAGAAGAGATTCCCACAGCACTCGCTTCTCCCTTTGAAAGAGAGACTGAACAAACAGCTCAGCAATTTCAGTCTCACTGCTTGCTCCCTTACAGAGAAGAAGCTGAGAAAGTAGTTATGAACCTGGTACAGGAAGCCTTTCTAAACTGAAAATTCCAAAGCCTTCAGAATAATGAGAGACCAGATGGCTTCCAGTTGCTGCAGTTCAGAGGAAGGGATTTGAATCTGAACAGTAACAGATGTAAATTTTCAGCAAGCTGCCAACAGAATTAAATCAATCTTCTAGTCACTGTGCAAAAAAAAAAAAAATAAAAGTCCATCAGGGAAACTCATTCAGGACAAAACACAAAAAGACTAAAGCAGGCTCTGACATGCCTCATGCCTTAGGGTGTAGCACACTTCAGAATCTTCATTTTTGTAAAGTTTTGCACATTTTCTTAAATATGACAATAATGCAATCAGCTAGAGAATTAAATATGATCTTAGGATTTTTCTACTTAAGGATGTCTTGTAACTCATTATTCCTTGTCAACTACGGTAATACAGAAATAATACACTAGAAAATAAAAAGAATTGAACCACATAAGAGTATAATCAAGCATCTACACTTGTTTAGAGACTGGAAGTCATAACTTAAAGTCCCTGAATTAAAATAATATTAGTTACAAAAGCAATATTCATTTATAAGAGAATTTTCTGACAAATTCTGGATTTTATCCATGTGATTGCTTTGTGAACAAATATAGCTTTCCAAACTCAGTTGTTACAAAGATAAATCCTAAGAAAAACCTAAAATACAATTACTTTTGAAAAATACAAAGCAGCACCTAATTTCACAAGGAAAACAGTATGCTTAATGAAAGCTACTTACTATACATGTCACAAGTCATCTTATCCAATTAGTTTTTATTCATTTGTAGAAAAAGTAAACTTAAAAAAAATTATCAAGAGACATTAAAAGTGTTTACCGATAAATTCTAATATCCCTCTCAAATGTTGAATTTATTCTGCAATCATAACTCACATTAAAAAGCATCTTCAATTGACTAGATCAAGTAATATTTACATAGTACAATAACAGAAAAGGCTTGCCTCATCTTAGGACGACATCAGAGCAAACTTGGTGACTGTGACAGAAATGCTGGGCTTAAACTCTTATTAAGCTTTATTAATTATACATCTTGTTTCTTTATCAAGATTTAAATGCATCAGAGAATTGTCATTGGCATCACTGAAATGGGGTGGGATGACTTTCACAACTGGAATGTAGGAACAGATGGGTATAAACACTTCAGGAAAGACAGGCAAGGGAGAAAGGGAGGGGGTGTTGCCTCCTACATCAATAATCACATGGAGTCCATGGAGCTCCACCTGGGGATAGATGAGGAGTTGACAGAGAACTTATGGGTTAGGGTTAAAGGGAAGGAGATAACATAATGGGGTTCTGCAACAGGTTGCCTGATCAGGAAGACCGAGTGGATGAAACCCTCTATAAACAGATAGGAGCAGCTTCACATTCACAAAACATGGTCCCCATGGAGGATTTCAACCACTCTGATATCTGTTGGAGGGACAACACAGAAGGGCACCAGAAATCAAAGAGGTTCCTGGAATGTGTTGATGATAACTTCCTCTCCCAAGTGGTACGGGAAACCACCAGAAAAGGTGCAGTGCCATTTACAAGTAAAAAAAAAAAAAAAAAAAGATTCTCCTCATATAAAAACCATCTTTGTAGCAGCCTAAAAGCCTAACAGTGAACATAACAATACTATGTATGAAATAGCTCAAATAAAAATTAAGCAAATTTGAATTTTAAAAATCTAAAGTAATCTGAAAAAGGAACTTAGCAAAAAAAAAGGGTTCCTTTATGCTTTTTCCAAGTAATTTTCAAGGTTATCTTCTCTTTCCTTTTAAAAGACTCAAAGCTACTTTTAACATTAGTATCATAAATATCATTAATATCTTAAGAATTTTATCTTTTTGCTTCATGCTATAGGAGTTTTTCAAAAAAAAAAAACCCTTCAGAGGCTAGCCCTTAAATGAGCCTGGGGGAGGGTCATATGGGAAGCACAGGTCAATTGCTTGTACCTCTGCTCCCTGGGCGAGCCACCTCCTTCACCAGATGCTCAATCATCAGTTCAGGCTATGACATAACAGTTCACCTACAAACCTGAAAATTAATTCAGTAGCAGGTCAAAATCTTGAAGAATGATAAGAGTTTAATGTAATGTTCCAGAAACAGAACATTTCCAGACAAATTTAGACAACCAGCTTGGAAGTACTTGTCTATACACAAAAATAACCCATTTCTATCCAAAGAGCTGCAAAGCACAAGTTAATGAAGAGAACTGAGGTTAGCAAAAGGAAATTTCTTCCACCCTCCCCCAAAAGAGAAAAGATGCCTGAGGAGCATAGAAATTACTGAAACATAAGTTTTTAAAAATCAACAGGATTTGTTGCACTTTCCTAGAATAGTTATCTTCAGAATGTTAACTAAGTATAACTTCAGTTATGTAAACAAAATGGATTCAGAACACAGACCTCTGCTTTTTTCAGAAGCGTTTAAGAGCACCAAGTACTAAAGGAAATACGACTACTAACAGTGATTAGAAGAGAAGGATGTGTGTGCCAAGTTTTATTGACTTTCTAAAGAAACTAGATCATCAAAATGTCCTGATGTACCTCAGAACAGGATGGTAAATTTCTTGATGATTGTTATGGAAAAAGATAGTCTCTTTCTGTATTAATCCTTTTCAATCACCCATACTATGGTTGTTCTTTTTTTTTTTTTTCCTACTCAGATAATCCAAGTCTTCACAAACAATAGCTGGATATACCTGTGATACAGAAGATACGATCTAGTACTGATTGACAACTTGTATATTATGATGAGGACATAGAGGTCATTATGAGGTTGGGGACAATGGGAACTGAAGACCTGAGGCATTACATGTTCCAGAGACTTATGCTTTGTTCTGAAGCTATTAAACATAATAGGCGCAGTAGAATGAAACACTTAGTGTGGAATGTCTTAATCTTCAAAATCTCCATTGAGTCCTTTCATGAACTGATACAGATAAGGTACTTGCAAAATTAACCAACAGAGACTTCCTTGATGAAAAAAAAAGTAGGAAGATGTAATCTTGTCCTTCCACACAGAGGACAAAAATAACTTTTTCCAAACTTTGTACCTCTCTATCATGATGAAAAGACCATATAATCCAGTTAATCACAGTTAAAGACAAAAACAGAGCTCTGAAAAGAACTCTGGTATGGAGGCAAAAGGCCTATTATCATACATGTCCAACCCATTGCTTGCATACAGCCCTGGACAACTAGTAAGGCAGCCCCACAAAATGATACACTTTTAACATGATTATTTTTAGCAATATTTTTCATGAGCCGATAAAAAAGAACATTAAAAAAGGACTTGAAAATTGCCTTAAGCAAGTGTAGCAACTGTATAACTTTTGTCAAAATCTTTCAGAAAACCATCTCCACCACTTCCCTGGAATAAAATTTTGATCACACTACTGGCTCCAAAGCTCAGAAAGAACATGTCATATACACCTTACTGTTTACAAAGAAGCATATTAATACCTTAGATGAAGCACTGTACTGTAGATATCATATCTTAAAAAAGGACAGAGAAGACCGATAACCTTCTATCAAAATTCAAGTACAATTCCACTCAAAGTACTTTATGGAAGACAACAAAGAATACCTACACAGAAAGTACAGTGTGACTCTGATTATGTATTGTATGTATTGCCATGTCTCAATTACTAAAGCAGCAAAGATGCTTTCATGCAAATTTCAGCATATGCTAGCACCTAAAATAAGAATCCTAGAGGGACACTTGCTATGTACAGTATCAGCTAGTATGATCTGAAGTTACAATATATGTTCTCAAGTACGTAAATGCCAGGCTTTTGCATAAATGCAGCTTCTCAAATATGAACAACATATTTAGGAGGTATTGGACATATTGCTAACAGAAAAATTCCCATAGGAACTGTAGAGGAAAATTCCTCCTGCAGTCAAACAAAACCAAACAGCTATAACTAGAAAAATCCCTGAGCATATCAACTTGTAGACATAGTACAAACTTAAAAGCAATAACAAAAATACGACCAAAAATAAGAATCATATTTCTTCATGATAACAGCTTTCTAGGCAATTTGCAATGAGACTGGTAAAAATTCTGAGTATTTTCTTTGTTCATGATTGAAACCCTGGCAAAGAGAAAAGAGCTGCTACCTAGCACAGAAGCAACATACCACCTGTAGTGGAATTCCAGGATCACATCCTGAACCAATGGGTGAGCTACAGGACTACATGAGCGTCTGGAGTGGGCAGGAAGGGGGGTCTAGAGCCACCCCTTATGTCTCCGCAATACTTCCCGTGCCATCTGAGTATGTACGGGTCCCCCTTTTCCCCCGTCCTTCTCTGCTGCGGCACAATGGTACAAATGGGGTAGGGTCACGTTCCTCAGCTCATCCCTTTCTCCAAACTAATACTGGGAGGAATAAATCAAATCCTCTTTGATATCTTTTCCTACAGCACCTATTTCTCAAACAAAGGCTCTATCATTGCCTTTGTTTGTTCTACACTTTGACAAACCAGGCAGCCAAATATCTTTAAAGGTACTCAATTATAAACCTCCTAAAGTAATTACCATAGTATTTTTGAACAACATCATGGGATGGTGTAAGGGAACTACTGAGTCACAGCCTGATTGATCACCTGAGGCGAGCCATGAGTCAGCCAGAGGAGCACAGGTGAAAGCAATTCACCTGTGCTGCCAGAAGGGGTGGAGGTAGGCTCCAACTCTCCTAGACCTATTTAAGAGCTGGCTACCAGTGGGAAAGGAGCTTGTCTGGAGATCCATCCTTCTAGTGATTTGTAGGTGAGCCTAGTGTAAGGGTAAGCCTTCCATTTATTCTCTCTTGTTATCATAGTCCACTTTGCCTAACTCTCTTGTTTATTTTGTGATTGTAACATCTTGATATCCATTGATTATACACTTGGTGAGCCAAGGCAGGCCAAATACACTAAAATTAATATCATCTGTTTTCTTTGGAATTTCTATAAGTGAGTCAAGGGGGAGAACAAGACTCCTCTAGGGAAAATGATTCCAGGGTAGATCCCAGGATTTGAGGGATCCCCCTATTATGAGTTAGCTGCTATCATTGAAAAATGGGGTCCCTTACGTGTCATGGGCAATATCTCCCCATATCGCATGGTGGACTATTTTCAAGGACTTAGCAAGGACGTGCTCATCACTAAAAGAAGACAACTGGCTGCCTCCATGGTGGCATGGCCATTATTAAGTGCCTTAAATCATGCGGAAACAAGAAATAATATTTGAGAAAATGAAAATCAGCTTTTGAAAGATTGCATTGAAAAACTAGAGTATGAACTTGGCGTTTAAACTGGGAAGAAGCCAATTCTACATCTTCCAGTAGGCCAAGTTCGTAACATTTCAATAAATGATGACCAGGCTCCTGAATCAACAGACTTCGTTGATCAAGAAAAGAACAAATCCAAATTAGATCTTGAATGTCCAATTCTGACCAATTAACTAGAAGTCTGTCCTATCGTAACCCAGAAAACAAAAAAAGTACAGGACAGACCGGCAGGGGTGCCACCTGATCAGTGGCCCAGACTCATTTAAATGTAACGGCCCGGCCATACACGGCGACAGAATTGATGGACTTAATACAGCGATTTTGGCAGAAGCCTAGAGAAAGTGTGCCAGCTTGGTTATTAAGACTGTGGGATTCTGGGGCAGAAAGTGTTTTGGTGAATGTCCCAGAAATAGCCAAGGTGGCCGCCATGACTGTCCATCCTGCTCTCAGGTGGAGGTTATATGTGGGTCATCAATATT